TTTTCTCATCGCCTTCAGGATGAACAACTTATTTGTCACCTTTCATTATTTTTTGTTGCAATAGCATTGATTAATTACGAGTAGTTTATATATTGAATTCGGATCAAATAAAACTGTTTCTATTCCGGATTCTCTTAAAGATTATGCAAATTATGTCAATATTACTATTGGAGAGGGTTTTGAATACGTTCCAAGACATTGCTTTTCCAAATTTATTAATCTCATCAATATCACACTCGCAGAATCAATATTAGAACTTGGTGAAGAACCTTTCTACCTCACAAAAATCGAATACATCTTTTTACCAAAAAAAGTTAAGACATTATTCCCAGCAAACTCATTTGATAGTTTGACAACTTTAAAAGCCTTTGATGTTGATATCAAGAATCCCTACTTTTGCTCAGAGGATGGAGTCTTATTCACTAAAAACAAAGATAAGTTAGTTCATTATCCAGCTTCCAAAGCTGAACAGTTTTACACAATCCCTAATACAGTTATCAGATGCTTATTTTCATGTTTTACCGATACAAAAAATTTAAATTTCTTAGTTATTCCAGAATCTGTTGTCTATTTTGAATCCGCTGCTTTTCTAAAATGCAATAGTATCAAAAACATTACGGTTTTCCGTCATCCAAGACAAGAAAAAATTAAATTTTTAGGAACGAATTTTTCGGAAACTACTTTCCAAAAAGAAAATATAACATACATTTATCCTCCACATGATTTAAAGACTTGTAAGAATATAATGTTAAATCAACTTCATAATTTTCCAATAAACGTTTTTATTCTTATGGTAGAATCATAAAAATGTATTGAACTCATATTTAAAATAATGTTACTGTAATTTTATTTATTTTTGAGAAATTTTCTTTATTTTTAAACTTCATAATGCAATTATATATTTACATAGATAGAACACAATAATTTAGATGAATATTTATAATTGTATTGCTGTATTGAGGTATTCCGGAATTCGATATAGGTTATTTGTCAGAAATATTAATGCAAAAATGTATGTGTACAATATTTTGGCATTACTGCAAAAAAAAAAAAAAAAAAAAAAAAAAAAAAAAAAAAAAAAAAAAAAAAAAAAAAAAAAAAAAAAAAGGTAGTGGGGCTTCCAGGCACTTCGTGCCTTCTAGCCCTGAGGATGATTGATATAATGAAGTTCTTATATACGGGTCTTCCAGGAGCTTTTCACAAAATATATATGTTTTCATGTTTTGTCACTTTTCTGTCACTTTTCAGGGAAAAAACATTTTTATTGTATATAAAATGAATTTTACAAAACCACCGTTACCCTTCTTTGGAAATAAGAGTAGATGTAAAGATATTCTATTGAGAGAACTTAAGAAACTACCGAATGGTCTAACATTTGTAGATTTGTTCGGTGGAAGTTTCTATATATCTCATTTGTGCCATACAATATTTCCTGACTCAAAGATTATATGCAATGACTTCGACAACTATATGAACCGTCTCAAACATATACCAGACACAAACAAAATATTGAAAGAGTTAAAAGAAAAGATACCTATAGGTAAGATGGAACGTATACCATTAGATAAGAAAAATACTGTCAGAGAGGTTTTGAAAAAGGCAGAGTATATTGACTGGGATAGTATATCTGCTAGACTATTATATAGTGGTGCTATAAGAGTTCATGACATTGAAACACTTATGTCAAAAGTTTTATATCTTAACTATACAAATGTTTTCAAAGAGAACATAGAAAAATATATTGAGGTATAGAGTTTGTGAGATGTCATTGGACAGATTTGTATGAAAAATATAAAGACAAGGAAAATGTTTTCTTTATAGTGGACCCGCCGTTCTATAACACATGGGATTTTCAATACCAAGTAGACTGGACTTTGAGAGACTCTTTAGAAACTTTAGACGTTTTACATAACCATCCATGCTTTTACTTTACATCCGATAAAAGTGGTTGGAAACCGTTATGAGATGGTTAGAGGACATACATGACTATGATTTAGATACGATAAGATAGAATATGAGAGAGGTCCTATAAACTGGAGAAAGTGTCATAACAAAGAAATTTTACTAGTAAGTAAATGTGGTTTGAAATAGGACTACTTGTTTTAGGTTTTTTCCATTGTGTCATTTACTTATTTGACGTGGCAGAAAGATATAGAGAATATGAAGATGAACCAATGCCTGCAAATGTTCAGTATATGTACTCGTAAGAGTTATTTATCTAATATTAAAATGGACGCACAGAACTTAGCGAATGCACAGCAACCTGGACAACCAAACCCAGAGAATATTCCAAATGAAGTTAGAATACAAACTGCAATGGCAAACTATGGTCAAGTGCCAACAGATGTACAAATGCAAACTACCATGTCAAATGACGCTGCGTTAGGTTTGCCACCATGGTATGCAAATATGAGATGGAAAGAGTTTTATACAAACCCTGAAGTGGGATATAAACAACTCTATGCAGATGACGCGAACACAGGAGTTGACCCAGAGTATGTTTTCTACCAGAGGAGAAATAGAATGTATGAGCTCCAGTTAAAGAATGCTATGGAACTCAGAAGGAAACGTAAGAGACTAGGCGGACATTAGATTTTTACATATAGTAAAATGGGTTTCTTTGGAAGAATAGGAAACTTCTTTCGAAATGTTGGAAGAGGTATATGGAATGGAATAAAATCTGTCGGAAGAGGAATTTGGAACGGTGTCAAAAATATTGGTAAAAGAGTAGGTCAGTTCGTTGGTATTATACCTAAAGACCCTGAACCAGAAGAACAAGCTCCTGTTATACAACAGCCTGAACCTGCACCACAGTCTAGTTGGCAACCAAATCCAACACCTCAACCGTATTAAAATTATATTTTTACCGTTCGATAGTAGTTGTATATGAAACTAAGTTCTAAGTAAAACGCGTGGTATAATGGAATTATTCTCTTTCTTCCATCTGTAGTAAACCATACTTGAAAGTCTGAAATACTTCCACTTGGTGGTTCGTATAGCTTTGTAGGTTTTTCGTAAAAGTCATTTGCCAAGCATAAAAAAGAGTTTTGTGCACCAGAAAATGAAGCATGAACTATAATAGCATCTGAGTCGAAAACATTTTCATATGTTCCATTAGGGTTTTCGACTTCATAAAAGTTCGGGTGTACTGGATATTCTGCAGGCTGATTTAACATCCTCAAAAATCTATACCATGCCAAGTTGTTATATTTTGTAGAAATATAAACGTCTTCTCCAAGGTCTTCTATTCTATTGATTTTAACAGTTGCATTTTTCCTGTCATAAACAATATCGAGATGGTACTCTCCTTCGTCAACGTTGTACTGTTTTGCATATTCGAGATAGATATCGTTTATTTTTTCTTGAAAAGCTTGAAGAGTTGTTTCTAAGTTTACAAGCAAATTCACTTGTAAAAGTTTTCCCTGTTCAAATTTCTCATACGTACGTTTTTCTTTGTTATAGTATCGAACTTCAAAAGCGACCGTAAATGGGAAACCATGTATGGCTTCTGAAATGAACTTCATTCTACGAAAGCCAACAGCTTTTGTGACGGATGGGTCTCTTAACCATCTCAATGGGTAGTCAAAACGATAGCCTTCATGCTTTACGGTCTCTGTCTCAAACTTTTGACCGACATTAGTAAAAAGTTCATCTAATGGTTTAGTTGTAGCAACTCTTGAATTTTCTTTTTCTATTGAAAGCATATTTTATCTAGAATAAAAATGTCGAAAGAAACAGCGTCTATGAGAGAAATACAACACAACCGACAACTCATTGTGCAAGCTCTAAATAAGAACACAACAAACTTTTCAAACTATTCTAAGATATCTGAGTCATTGAAAGAAGGAAACTTAAAACTGACATTAAACCCTTTAACAGACGAGTTTCTGTTTCAAGACAGTAAGAACCATACTGTTTGTATAAATCCAACAAAAGGAACTTTAAACGAGAAACCTATAAAAGAACTTCTTTTGAAAGCAGATGTTGACAACAAAGCTGACAAAGAGTATGTCATTGAAAAAGTTCAAGAAGAACATGACAGAGCAGATGCAACATATGCAACGAAAGAACATACTCATCCTGAACTAGCAGACAAAACATATGTTGACAATAAAATGTCAAGTGAAGTGACAAGAGCTGAAAACGAATATTCTAAAAAGACTCATACACATACCATTGCAAATATTACAAACTTACAAGAAACCTTAAACAAGAAAAGTGACGTTGGACATACACACGATTTCTTCGCAACTGTTGGTATAGAAAATATTGCAGGAACGGTTGAAGAACCTGATGGAACTGGTGGGGATGTATTAAATTGGAAACCTCCTAACTTTCCACAAGGTTTAACATCGGATGAAGACATAACGACGATGAAATACACTAGATGTAGAAATGTCTATGTCATGGAGGATGAAAACAATGTTAAATTCACTGCTCAAGATTTATATGATAAGAAAGCTGACAAAACATATGTTAACGATGAGTTAGATAAAAAAGCTGACAAAACATATGTTAACGATGAGTTAGATAAAAAAGCTGACAAAACAGAGCTTCAAACGTTAAAGACAGAAATACTTCAAACATTATATCCTATAGGTTCTATTTATACGTCAATGAACTCTACCAGACCAGAAGTAGTACTTGGTTTTGGAACTTGGACTCAAATAGTCGACAGGTTTTTGTATTGTGCAAACTCTTCAAAGGAAACAGGTGGAAGTAAAACGATTTCAGGTGAAAATTTACCTGCACAAGTCACTACATAGATTTAAGTACATCTCAAGCAGGTTGGCATAAGCATAAATTTTGGGATTGGCAGAATGAAAAAGGTAAAGGATATGATGTTAAAGACGACGTTCAGTTTGCTATAAATTGTTACTGGAGTGACACTCAGGGAGAGGAAACCATACACATCGCGTTTCAGGATATACACAAACAACGGGACAAAGTAAAGACTACATGCCACCTTACATGACAGTTTACGCATGGTATAGAATTGCTTAGTCGTCATTTTCAACTTCTTTAGCATATTCGTCAGGAGTTGTCTTATATTTGTTAGGAACTGTCTTTGAAAGTATACCACCTTGAACTTTGACAAGTTTGAAACGAGGTCTGACAATAGTAGTTTTATCTTCTGCTTGCAGTGTGTACATTTTGCCATGTTTGCCTAAAACTTCATAATATTCTCTTGTATACTTTCTTCTATTTTTACGAACACGAACGTGAGTACCTGTCGAGTTCCCATTGTTGTCATAGTCAATAGTATTTTCATATGGGTCGCGTTTAGGTATTTCTATTTTTACTTTGTCACCTTTCTTAAGTTTGAAGCCTGGCATTCTTTCTTGTTTGTCTCTTTTGACTAAACTATTAAATATATAGTCTTTCTCTAAGTCGGGGTTGTTTTTCATTTCTTCGGGGGAGTGGTTTCCCAAACCTTTTTGTTTACGGCTATTGTAAATATTTAAAACTTGTCTCATCTTTGCCATGGAGAAGTGTCTATATTTGTCGTCATATGACATTTCATTTGCTTCACCACCTTGTGGTTGTTTAAGTCTCTTAAGATTTTTATACAACTGTCAATGACACCAAGAGCAGAATGGTTTTGGTCGACAATGAAATATTGGTTTACATTTTTTGAACGCAGATAGTT